TCCAAACCGCCATTGTTTCAAGCTCTCAAGCTTTGCAACTTGCTTCGTTCATCCCTTTCAGTGAAGCATTCATCGCTTCGCTCCATTTACCGTCGTCATCTGACTTCGGCGAACCTCACACCGGCGCCATTTTCTTCGGTAAGTCACTGTTCCCCTCCTATTAGTTTTTGACTTTCTTTGAACTTTGTTACGTTTTGCACACTGTTATTTCGAATCTAGTTTCTTGAATATATTTGCTTTGTGTTTTGAATTCCATCACTTTGAGTACCAAACATGCTTTGTTTGGGATTTCTAGTTGTTCAATCTGCTTTTGGTTCATGGCCCCTATGCACATATATGCACTGTTTTACGTGTCTCGATGTATCACCGTTCTTGATTTTTAATCTGTATTCTTGAATCTGAATCATGCTCTTTGCCCTGTTTTCTTTGTTGCATTTTCCAGATTCCTACCTTCAATTCTTCTTTCCATAGTCTTAGGCTTGGTATTTGTTCTAAAACTTTGCTCTTCAGGAAAATCGAACCAAAAACCCTTTAGATTTTCAAAAAAATTTACCTCAGTACTCTCTAGGGCTTTAGCCGAGGTCCCTAAAACCCACACAAACCTCTTTCTTCCGAATTCTCACACCTTGTCCCTCTAGCCGACGTCATGAGTATGTTTAGATGAAGGTGGATACCCCGGAGAAACTTTAGCATTTTAGGAGGGAGTTCTCCATCCCTGCCGATGTCCAACTCAGGTTGGCTGGGAAGGAGGACTCCATTATGCCCAATGACAACTTCATGCCTTTCCCAGTAATTGCTTTCATCGAGTGCGAACTTAGGTTCCCTCTTGACATCCCCTTTCCGCCAAGTCCTTCACTATTACAAACTTAACCCAATACAACTAGCCATTAACTCTTACAGAGTCATCAATGGTATAATTGCCTTAGCTAGCCGAGAGAACGCTAGGATTACTCTAGGTGACATCCAATACTGCTATACCATGTGTGGCCTTAAATCAGAAAAAGGCTACATCTATTACCATAAGCCGAGGTCAATCGAATACAAACTTATTACCGACCTCCTAGACTCTAACAAAGGTGCTGGAGATGATTATTTCATCGTCTCGGGCAACTGAGAGTTCCCACCAGATGATGACCTCCACCTCTACCCCTTGAGCCGATTAGTCTTTAAAGAGGGTAATGGTAAGAACCACGTGTCGCTTTATTTGCTTTCAAGTCTTTATTACTTTGTTCCTTTTATATGTTCTAATGTCTGTTGTTTGCTTGCAGCTCTTCTTCAACCTCTGAAGGACTTCCGCAAAACCTTCTATCCCAGCAAAGACTTCAAGAAGTTGCTGGGCTTGCCTATCAATCAACTTAAGGCCCATTTGCTGGTCAACTACATCCCAACCTATAAATCCACATTGCTCGACGTCCCCAAGAAAAGCAAGTCTCCACCCTCAGCAACAACTCCTCCTACCACTTCGTCACCACGGCCTGACCAAGCCTCAACATCTGACCCAACAGAACAACCATCAACTTCTGCTCCCTAACTGATTCCACCTTCTTAGCGCCAATACCGTCGCTGAGTTCCCATCTTTGCTCCTGCAGGCAGAACTCGTAGCCAAAAATGCCAATCCTCTGAGGCGTCGGCTTACGATCCAACAAACCCGCCTACTGCACTGCTAGCAATTCGCTTTGGAACCAAGGTCACAGTCACCGCCATCGCCGACGAAATAGGGCGCAACAAGGCCGTAGTCGAAGATCTTTTGGCTGACATCCCGGGCATAATGACAGTCCAATCTTCACCATCACAATCCCTACCCAAACCAAAACAAAAAATAAGGTAAAGAGGGCCAAGGCAAAAGTCTCTTTCACCCAAGTTGAGTTTGAAGACACAGTTCCAATCTCAAAACTTGCCGAGGTTAAGAAAACAAGCTCTGCCACCGAGAAAAAGCCCACAGGATGACCCTTCTAAAACCACCAAGTCAAAGAAACCGAGGTCGGACTCTGCAGCCACCTCGAGTTTACTTAAGGCTGATGACCCTTGGGCCCCATCTATCACGATCGAGGACAAGCCAGTCAGAACCGGTGACAGCGCTACTGACATTGAGGTCGGTGTTGCCCTGTCTACTGCATTGCTCCTCTCTAATGACCTCAACCAAATAACCGAGGTCAGCGAATACGAAAATTTTGCTCTGATGGTATAGCACTATGTACCGGTAAACTCCTAACACTTGGTACTCTTCATTCTCTGTTTTTCATACATAAAAGAGTTTACTAACTTTGTTCTTTCCATTTCTAGGCAATTCAGCACGCCCACTCCTTCGCGATGCAGGCAAAAGAAATGAAGAAAGATCTGGTCCATAAGACCAAGGAGGCTGCTAGCTTGCTTAATTCCCTAAACAAGGCTGAGGCCAAGATGAAAGCCTTGATAGACCAGGCCAAGGTAGCTAAGCAAGCCCAAGATGAAGCCGAAGAAAGGGCCGGTGCTGCAGAGGCTGTTGCTGAGGTTCTCAAAGCCGAGAAAAAAGAGGCCGAAGCAAAGACAGCCGAAGCCCAAGAAGAACTCCAAAATACTTTGGCCACAAAAGATGCCGAGATCAAAGTGGCAGACGAAAAGGCCTATGCTGAGGGGCTAGCTGACGTCCGCGAGGAGTACAAGAAACAAGTCAGACAGGCATGCAACAAGGGTTACACCCTTGGCTGAATGGCTGCTTTGAAGGAGTTGGTTGTTCCCGAGGACTCTCCTCTCAAAGACGAAGGCCGACTTGCGCTGCCATTCCCTCCAACTTCAAGCCAATCCGAGGCTAAGGCTGGGGGGTGTAACAAGTCCGCGTGGGGCCCCCGTAGTGTTCAAAAGGTTTTTTGAAAAACTTAGGCTAATGCAATGAGTTTGGCGCGCAGGAGAGCAGGCGAGATGTACTGTCAGCCCAATCAAATCCTCTGGCACAACTAACTTATACTGGAAGCAAGCATGAAAATGAGATAACCATAGCTGTTTCATTCAGATTTGTTGGTGTAACTGGTTCCTCGGCAAAAACAGACTCAAAAACAAAAACAGGTAATTACAAGATAAAACGGTGTTCGAGGCAACAACCCCAGAATCACCTGGTATTCTATACAAAAGGGACTGACTCGTTACAACAAGACAGACCTTTAAGCAAAAAGACTGACTCAAGACAAAGAGACAGACTCAAAACAAAAGACTGACTCGATACCCAAGCCAGGATTTACAAAGCTAGCGTTCACAGCCACTCAAAAATGTGACAATGGGACCATATGAATGAGATGTTGTGGAATGAGGTTGGTCGTCTCGGTAAATTGTGTAATTAGGGTCTACAGTATCGATTGATATTCATTCATGGACTATTTGTACTTTTAATTCTTCCAGGACTTGAAGCCATTACCTTCAAATACGCGCATTTAATTATGGTTAAGTTTTGTCAAGACCTATTCTCAAAAAAATGAGTTCTATATGCGGGATATTCTGCCTTTGAATTTACCATTATTCTAACTACCTCTATATCGCATATATTGAGAGTAATTATTTAACACATATTCTGAGTGATTTATTTGTTTGTTAATGTGCAATAAAACAATAGTGAAGATTTGTGAGGTCCGAAGTACATACAAAAGTCTTTCGCTTCATTGTTACTCAGCTAAGAAGATATTGGGTACAAAATTCCACATCTTATTGTAGACTTAAGTGTTTTGTGTATGTGTTGGGCTAATACTTTGTTTTTTCATTTACTAATTCAATCCAGGAAGCTCATTTATTCTGAATGTGTTCATCGAGAATATTATTACTACTGTTGCAGTGCTAGTATATGCTCCTTGAAGCTTTGATTGGTGGTTATCCTATTTCATTAAAGAGTTGGTGAAAATTCCCTACTTGTTCTTCCGAAAAGTTTGTGACAGGCATGAAACAGGAATTGGAAGAATCCCTTCGATAAAATGGTTTAAGAAAATTTTTGACGTTTGTGGTAACATTTCTAGAAATTTTATTTCTCAGTATTTGATATTCCATTCATGAGACTATTTATTTATTCTTTCATATTAGCGCGTTTTTCAAAAAATTAGTATGCGGGATTATTTTAGCTTTGATTTACATTGTTCTACTCGCATATATTGAGAGCAATTTTTGCACCATATCCGAGTGATTTATTTGTTGAGTGCATAACTGGTGAGATTTGAGTCGAAGCATGTTTCAGAAAGAGATTTTGGGTTATATTTCACTTTAAGGCTAAGGTTGTGTCTGTGTTGGTTGAACTTTTTTCACACACTCCAAATTTGAATGTCATGCAATATCTTTACTTGCTGCTAGTCTTTTGAACTTTGGTTGATTATCTTGTTAAGGTTGTGAAATTCATGACTGGTTCTTTAACCTTGGCTTGAGAATGAAAGAAATCCTTTAAGTAAAAGAATTTTTGGATGTTTGTGGTAACATCTTTGGAAACACGAGACTATTAACTCGTCCATGAGGGGTAATCTATTGGATTAAGGGCTTTGTCCATGTGCTAAATTCAATCGTGATTTCTTGCGGAGTGGTTTAGAGATGTTGCTTTTATTCTTCTTTTTGATTTTATTTTAGTCGCCTTAATTGCTAGGTTCTAAAATAAAGCTGGTTGGGAGGTGTGATGAATGCTTAAAATTACGTAGTTATTCTAGGAATTTTGGATATTATATTCATTCTCTCAATTATATTTAATTGTGATTATGTATTTAATTTATTTTTAGAAAAACTACCATTTGAGCCATCAACAATATTATGCTCAACCAGGCCCATAAGACTCGGTTTGCTTTGAAATCATCTCATACATCCACACAAAACCTCTCGCAAAGGTTAGACAAGATTTCATTGTACCTCCAGTCCTTTTATATTTTGATTTTGCTCTTCAATTTTATTTATTTTCCTTTTAATTACTAACTCATCTTTTGTTCTTTATTTGTTCCTTTTATATAATATATATTGGGTGACTTAGATAATAGCAGAACACATAGATCTGACCGCAATGTTTGTCAGGGTGCTTGGGTTGCTCGAATTCAGTGCAACAAGATGGTAATTTTATATCTTAATTTTCTAACCCTCTACATAATATATATACCTTTTTACTCACAATGGTCTTGTTGTTTGTTGCTTTTCATCGAATAAAAGATTAATATTGCTATTGCCTAAAGGCAAGATTTTCATATTTTTTGTAGATAAG